TTCACGAGACCCCTTGCTCGAAGTATCGTACACGTTGTTGCGGTAGAGTATAAGGTAGACTTTCACGGTGCCCTCTTATACAAGTCACCGCGAGACAGACGCTCTCGAGATAAGTGCGGCCTTTGAGATTTACTCGACATTACCGGTACTCAATAGCGAATTCCTCGATATCATCCAGATTACCGCTTCCCACATGTACCAAAAACGCAAATTTTCGTCCTAAAATTGTCAATAATCATGCTAAGAAAAATGAAAACTTTGAGGCAATTTGTAGCAAAGGAACTTAAGTGCCATTATTTCAATGCAAATTAATATACAATAAACTAATATCTTGTTTAAATTTCGTACCGTATGGATTGATTTGTGCTAAAAACTTGATATGGGAAAATGCTTTAAAATTGTTTCGTACGTCTTGTAAAAGTTCAGTCACGCAAGTTTCAAGAATTATTCTTTCTTATGCAAACTTTTTCGAGTTCTTCCTTCCGTTACTATAAAAAAGAGACTTTTAGTTGCGAGGTCACACGTAAGATGAGAATTACATTAATTTTAGAAATATATAATTTCATTACTCCTTTCGGAAATAATAAAGCGATGTCTAATGCCAGGATTGGTTAGTCAGCAATTTCTCGTGTCGCGAGTATAAAAACTTAAGATTCCTCTTTCTTGTCCTCTACTATTACTAGCACATATATATAATTTTTCAAATGATTGGATAATTCTATTTATTATAAATTCAATTTCAAACTGAATTTTATTTCATTAATTATATATTATAACTAAAATGACATAATTAACACCTATCTCTGCTATATTTTAAAGCAAAAATATTATAGTATATTATATTATGATATATATCTTTTTAATATGTCTCTTTGATACAGATAGAATGAGCATAATATACATACAGCATATCATTTAATTAAAAAATTTACACTTAATGAAATACTGACTTCTTTATTCTGTTAAAAAAGTTAGATCATTTTCATTGTGTGCAAAATTCATACAATCTATTTTATTAACTGTTTGTTATTAACAAATATCACGTAAGTATCTTTCAATCAATTTTCTCATTTCTCAGCGTTTCTATTTTAAAATAACTACTATATCTTTTAAATATATTTTACACTTATAATAAATAAAAAGCATTATATAAATTTTGTAAAATTATCTTTCCGTTGCAATTCCATGCAAATGGAGACGCATTTCGTAAATTTTAATTTTGTTGTAACGTGAAAAACATGGAAATGGTAATAGGAGGATTCTCCTGCTAGATTACATAATTAGTGGATCAAAGCGATTACCACGTCGAATTTCTTAGGATCGATGCGTGGCGCGGCGCGGCCGGGTACCGAAGCACGTGACACGTGACTGGAGAGTTGCCGCAGATATTAATTAAAATTCGCGCGGCACTCGACCCGTAATGAAGAGATCTCCCGCTCTTTAATCACCTCCGCGTCACATGAAAACCACCCGACGACGCTCGTATGTGTGTATACGTGTCTATAACGCGCGTATAAGCACGCTTTTGTGCGGCTCTGTAAGTTACTTTCTCCTTTAGGCTTTCGCGGTGCGAGCGAGAGTCCGTTCCAATTACACGTCGTGGTTAAAGTTTCCGCAAATAATACAGCAGAAGTTGCCGATCTTCTGGCTTCTTAGCCCTAGAGTACGGCGGTGGCTCGCCGCGTTTCCGAGAAATCGCAAAAAAACTAGTTCCTCCTCCGTGATGCGTTTATGACCACGTCACTCGTCGGATTTATTACAGTGACGTAATTCGAATGACGACCGGTGCCACGATACCATATCAGTTATCATATCGCGCTGCGCGCTGCGAAGTTTCTCTCATCGGAACAATTTTCCTCGCATTAAGAGTTTGACAAGAGATGACAAGATGACTTCGAAAGGAAGACTAAATATGATTATTATCAAAGTTAATATAGCGAACGAGATTCTACTCGCACAGTTATGAGAAACAGCAGAGATTTGCGAAACATCACATCATAAGAATGCATCATAAAATTGTTAATATAGTAGAGTATTATTATACAGTATATAATATATTATATGGTACAACATATTATATAGTATATTAGGCCCTGCGCACAATGGAGGAAATATTAGGAACAGGAATAAATATTAAATTTCAGAAATAAAAATTAAACGTAACGCACAATGAATACAAGTAAGCGTAAGATATTTTAAATTTTTAAATTTTTTCCGAATTTTTATTTCCAAGATTTAATATTTGTTCCTGTCCCTAATATTTGCTCCATTGTGCCCAGGATCTTACGTAGTATATTATATATTATATAATTACAGCCTAATATAGTATACATAATAATATAGCATTCTTTTATACATAATAAAAAACGATCATTTAATACAAACATATAATTACGAGCGTCGCGGCTAATTATATCTTTTAAACGAAAAACGGAAATTGATGGTTAGCAAATTTGACGAGTCTACAATCTCTTCGCAAAAGTCTGCGCGTACCATTTAAGAATCGTTGATTCAGATATATAAATATCGAATTTATGCCCGAGCGATAGTCTGACAAGAGACTTTTGATTTTAAAGATCTCTCGCGCTCTCAGACAGGTCATTTCGTGCAACGCAATTGCAGACGACGGCGACATAGGTAGAAAGACTCAGCAGCGAGTTCGGAGAATGTGGTCTCTCCACAGTCGGAAACCACATACACGCGTGTCACCGCACGATCGTCAGGATCCGTAGATAGTAAAGTCGATGGCAGCAGCCCAAAGAGAATTTTCTAGCAGCGTACACCTTGGTTACTCGGCAAGCAAAAGTCACTTCGAATCGACTCATCCTTAAAAGTCATCACACACACACACACACACACACACACACACACACACACACACACACACACACACACACACACACACACACACACACACACACACACACACACACACACACACACACACACACACCACCACACACAC